AAAAAAGTAATGTTTTTTAAAGTTACAACTCTTCTTATCTTTGCGGTACTTCCTCTTTCCAAATGTGCTTTCAAGCACGTCTTCCTTACTAGCTTACAGAGTCATGCCTATTTCTATGATTCGACACACATAGGGTCGTGATTCAAAGACATTATTTAAGTACTTTTATTTCTTTTTTTTTGTTGTTTCTGTTGTTGTCTCGTTTGTATAAGTCTCATTTGTATAAAACCAATTAAACACTACTCAAGAATTTGGAGTGTTAGACGACCAAATCTTGTTAATTTGCTTCTCTTACAGTTTTTATTTTATTTCCGCCAATGTATTTTCTTTGTGTCATTTTTTACAACGTCATAAATGAACGGTTCATAAAATTATAACCAAATATCTAAGCTGAAACAACTAAGGCTGAATATAAAAGCACAGATCAAAATGCGACAACAAATTTTTGTAGTTTTTTCAACTTTTAAAACTTATATTTACCAATGTCTTCTTCAAAGCATCGCACAGTTTACCGCACATATTGTAACGTATTGAATGAAGTGGAAAGAAATGGGAAAAACGGTGAAAAAGAACAAAATCTTTGTCCTTTTATGTACCAAATTCTGTTATTTATTTTCTTACCTCAATTTTTCAGTTGAATGAAGAGGATATTAACAGTTTCATTTTTGAATTTAAAATTGTCTTGACTTTGAACAAAATTGGCTATTAGATTATACAGCAGTAAGCAGGATACTTCTGTTGTCGGCGGTTACAGAACTGTTATTAGAAGTGCAAACAGTGCCTTCTGTTGCTGTTGCTGCAGCTGCTGCAGCTGCTATAAGTAATGACTGTTGCGAACAAAAAATTTTTTATATTTTTGCGCATTTACTTTTCAAATGCACATGCAATCGATTACGTAAATCGTTTTTTTTTTACTGCAATTTCCTCAATAAATCATGAACTCTATTAAACACTGAAACTTACTGTTAACAAATTTGTTTTTGTTTTTGCTTTTTTTGTTTTTCACTTTGTAATTTACCAAACAGTTAATGAAACATGGATGAACATAAGTCAAATATGTCATTTTCTTGGAAATGTTACATAGAATACTGCGTACTACCATGCATATAGTTGACCAATAAATTTGGTGCTGTAAAAAAGTTTAAACTAGTATGTACTTAGAAGAACTCTTTGTTATCGTAGAAACACTAAGAACCAACTTGGTGATTTTAGTGGTTTCTTTGTCTTTTTAATAATTTCTTCTTTTTACCTATTCCTTTCCAGGTTACTCTTTATCTACTTGCATGGTTATTCAACGGTTTACTGCTTTACACTTTCTTTGGTTTAGTTTAATTACTTTTGAAGAAAACGGTTATGTGTTTATTATTTTACAAATAATTAGTTTAAATTTCAATTTTTTTATAGGCTGAGAGTTATAATATTTCGATGGGTTTTACTGCGTACTGTAAGACATCTTTTCTAACATCATTTGTCTTAATTTGCTTTGAAAGGAGGCTTTTTTTTAGTTCTTGTTTTGATTTTAATATCAGTGTTAACCTGCTAACCTGACGATAAACTTGACTTAAAGTTAACAATTGATTTCAACACTCTGGTTTGCAAGTAGGTTGAATATGCCGATTAAATGATGTTAGTTGTTGCACAAAACCACTGTTGGTGCAGTCGTACGGGTTGCTACATTTGTTCAGGGCCACTCTTCAATCATTATTGGAAATTTAGTCTATTTTCTTGCTAAAAAAAAAGAAAAAAGAACTTCACTTAAATTTGGCAGATGGGCTGATGGCAAAATGTGTACATATTATACCTGATGCAGCTTGGCTGTGTTGGTAATGACGCTGGAAACCCACGACACGGTAGACAGTTATAACAAAGTTTGTGCATAAACAGTTTTCTTCCAACTATTTGGGTTTTACTGGGTTGAAAAAGTCAAATTTATTTGGTCTGATCTGTATCTCTTTTTTTGTTGTTCCATACTTATTCTTTTCAACTGTTGGTTTAGGAGACGTGGTTTCATAGCTCTTAGTAAGTATTACGAGAAGCCTTCAGTTTTTCTAGGCGGAATGTGTATTTAACGTCGCATATTATAAGGAAGCATGAAAATAAGATAGATAAGTTACTTAAGGGAACTAGAGCTGATTTCTACAGCTTAAAGCAATTTCAAAATCTAATTATTAAACTTTAAGCTAAACTATGCGGGACAGTTTTCACACTTATAATGATAAGTGTTTTTTGTGTTTTGTCTAATTTTTTCCTCCTAAAAAAACAGAACAAAGGAAAAAAAAACTTGTTTTGGAGAAATGAATAAGAAAAAGGTAATAAACTGTTGAACTGTTGAAAAATTTATCAGATTTTTTGTCAAGCGTACAACTAAATTGGTTTATCGGAGTATCTACAAGTAAATTATAATTGGTTCCGACAAAAATAAGGATGATTGCTGAGTCGCACTAATTTATCATCAGCAAAAACTATGGTCGGTTAGACAAAAATATTTTCTATTTCTTTCTTGTACTTTTTCTTTTTTTTGTATTTGAAGATATGTAATCTAAATTAGGGACAGCGCAATAATATTTGATATTTGTGGTGTTACCGTAGTTGGTAGAAAAAAAAAATAAAAGACTGAAAGATGACCACGGCTAAGGCAGCAGTTGTTCGGCGAAGTTGTATTTTGATCGACTACGAATAACCAGTTTTTTTTTTTTGCAGAAAATTTTTTTTGTTGTTTGCAAATTTTAAACAGCTTTTTACATCGGTATTCATATTTCTTTTTCTTTGGAAACTTATTTTTATTTATGAATTGTAGATGGATTTTAGTGACAGTTTATTTCTACAGTCTATATTGTTGTTTTGTTGAGATGGATTTCTTGAGCGACGATTAATTTTTTTAATATTTTCATGTTGAATAACAAAATTTGAAGTTAAGAAGCAAACTACACTGCAGTATGTGTAAAAGGGTGCAATTTTTTTTAATTTAATTATCAATTTTGAAAAATCAAGCAGTTTTAGCGAATAGTGAAAATGTTACGGCTATTAACGGTAACCTTCAGAAACGCAACAGCTGAATATTCGTTTTTTTTTTCCTTAAAAAGTGAAATGTTTACATCAATTTTGCTGATAATCTTATGCATTTATAATAGATGTTTGAGAAAGATAATGTCTGAGAAAATCTTAAAGCATGTCAAAAAAAAAGAATTTTGGGAGAAGTTTTGTTGGCGAAAACGGGATAAAATAATCAGTAAGATTGGTTTTAACTTGTCAAAGTTTGAAAGTTATTAAAGCATTAAACTTTTTTTGTTGTTAGGTGAGAAACTTTTTTTTTTGATAAAATAATTTGACAGATTAAGATTTGATGAGTCACTGTATCTGACAACAATGGTAATCCGATGTCTTTGATGAAAAATTACAGTATTTTAAGAGGTATTTCTAGGAGATTTTAAAAATTCTGAAAACTTACCTTTTTATTTATTTTTTCTAATTTAAAATAAATGAGTAATTTTTATTAACTGCAAATTATTTGTAGTTGCTGTGAAAATTCACTTAGGAAAAGCTTTCAGATTAAATTCAACAATTGTTCTCCTTTCTTATTATTGTTGTAGTTTAGAAGTTGCTGTGGTTTTTTTTTTTTTTTTTGAACATATCTGTCTGTTGAATTGTTTGGGAATAACAAATAATCAGTATTTGGTTGGATAGCTAACAGTGGCTGTATTGACTATCTTTTGCTTACAGACGGTCATGATATCTCTTTGGTTAAGCAATGCAATAAGTCAGGCATTTTTAGTAGATTTCAGAAATTTGTTTGTACTTGTTTCGTGTTGTTCGTTGAAATCAGTCAAAAACAATATTTTTAAATGAGTTTATTATTTACTATTTGGTGCATTTGATTCCGAAATTGAGTATCTTGTTAAAAACTGTCTAAGTCAGTATTTTCCAAAAAGTTTTGAAAGAATCTGAAAAATTCAAAACTTTTGGTGGCAGCACGTAGACTGTGGAAGACCTAGAAGCAACGGTAAGTGCTAGAAGAGTTCAAGTAGTTCTTGCAGGATATATTTAGTAATTTTTAAAATCTAATAAATGAACAATGAGTTATTCTTCAGTTTTAGAAAGAATTCAAAGCAATTATTCATTTTACGTTCTATACGGTAAACAGCTTAATAACTGTTCAGCTATGTGTAGTTAATCAGGATGATACGCTTTTAAGTTGAAAATAAGAGCAAGTAATCGTATAAGGACGTGTTGACCTAGTCCAAGAGAGTAGCAAAAATTCCCGGTTAGAAAGCAGGTAATGGATCAAAGACATTTAGAAATTACATTCTAAGCTTATCTATGATAGTGGTAATAACCTGAGTACTAATTTATAAATTTACTATAGATTATGAATATATCAGGGATAGTCAATAAAGCTGAAGTTAGATAATTCTGGAATAGAATTTTTAGGTAACCTATTAATCATTTAAATGCTGCTATGGAAAAAGAATTATAAAACTTGAGTGCTAATGGAATTTTTTCTGTGACTGCTATAACGAATTTGGTATATCTCAAATTTTCATTAGCTTTTCTAGACTCTGTTACTGTTATATTTGAGTGATTGATTGTGGAACGTTCTGATTATTTCATACTTTTCATCTTATTATTTCTGATTGAAGTAATAGTATTTTTTGTGTTAAACACGATATTGGTTTAGGATTGAGCGGCAGAACTTCAAGTGGAGGTCAAATTGACAATAAGCACTTAAGTTGAGAACTGCTTTGTAATTAACGTTGAGAGGCTTTAGTTAGTTTTTTTTTATTCATGGATGATTATACACTTTTCTTGTTCTTAGTAGATGCTGTTATTTTTTTAAAATAAAATGCCTTATTTTTTTATGTATTTTTGCTTAGAGACGTTCAGAAAAGGATAGCGTAACCAATTAACTTTTTTCTAGTATTTACTTCGATAATGTCTACTTTCTTTACAGCTTGATAATTTGAGTAAAGCGTTTTTTACTCATATTCTTCTACGAGGTCTTCATGCTTAGTGTAGAAGCTGGAGTAACAAAAGCTCAAGAAGGCTTTGGGACCTATAAAGATCTTGAAAGTGAAGATTATGATATTAAGGTGACTGACGGCGGAGAAAACCAAAACTGTAACTTTCGATCATCGGCGTTGGAGATGCTGTAAGTCTTTTTCACATTTGTCTTTTTTACATTTGTAATAAATGCGGCGTAAGCTGACCAAAGTCGGTTGTGTGCATCTGACCGTTCGTAATCTGCATGGACTGCATATATGGGGCATTAACTGCTAATATTAGCTGTCTGCTTAGCCTAAAATTATTTCAACAAAGTACTTTTTTCTTAGTTTTCTGAATTTTTAGGATGAACGCATTAGCACTTCTCGGCGCTCTCCGCTTTTTTTACAGCAGCTGCACTAGTGTCAATTTGAACTCCTCTGATGTACGCTTGTGTGAAACACGGGGTTTTAAAGAAAGCAAAAAAATTAGTTTACATAAAAATTAAATTTTTATGGTTCTAATACGAAATTTAAATTTCGGGTAGCTGATAACCAAAAAATGTTTCAAAGTTTATAAGTTTGTGGCTTAAGCTAATTTACTGCATCTTCTTTCAACTGACTGAGGAGATGACAACAGTTTATTGGCCATTTATAACTTTTTATCATTAGCTGGTTACTTAAAAGGGAAGGTTCTGATTACTTAGGCTAGTATAATGAGCGTTTAGCATTGCAGAAGCAAGTTTTTTTTGTTAATGCTAGAGGACTTTTATTAGTCATTAATAAATTATATAGTCCTCTGTAAAATAAAAGATCCTG